CTGAATCTTAATTTAAATATTTTCATATATTGTAAGTAAATATTTTATCAATATTTCACAATACATTTTTTGAAAGTGATGCAGAATAAAAGATAATTCAATTCTCTTGGTATAGAGATTATTTGATGATGGTAGCAAAAGGCAACAAAGCAGATCACTATGACTTCTCAGAATTCCAAAATAAACTATGTATATGTACCCACTGACTACACACAATTCATGGTACTCCTCAGAAGCTGTTGCCATTGTTCAAGGAATTGAGTTTTTTATGGTAATATTGGGGTTGGTCTTACAATGAATTTACTATCTTAAATCTTTTCTCCTTTTTCCTTTATTCAGCCAGTGTTAAACAAAATTAACATTTCAGCTATAATCAAAAGTTATTGGTTTGTGCTACAATGTATTTTTTCTTATTTTAAATAAATGAGGAGAGGGGATGCAAGTGTTATGTAAGTTTGGGGGATTAAGCTTGTATTACCAGTGTATAATAGGGGGGGGGGGGTATCTGAAATACTCCAATTTACTTTAAGTACTTTATAGACAACATCTAAGTGTCTCATTTTGTAAAGTACCTACTTAAGTGACAAGAAGTAAAGAATACAAAATGCAAGCAAAATACAATATTACATCTGAATTCTCTTTAAATATAAACAAGAGTAATAAGAAACATCATTGAAATAATTATTTAAAACAAATTCTACTACATTTCTTGAAATTTACAGTCACTCTGAGAAATATTAAAAAAAAGCAGACTCTAGATTACTTTAGAATGAGCACAGCATTGAAAATTTCAGAATATTGTCATAAAAAAGGATTGTTTTCAAACACTTAATTCAAATAGAATCCTGTGAACTACAGTGTTAAAAAAGATCTATTTACAATATTACAAAACATACTCCATAGTCAAGTCCAAAAATGCAGTGCAGCTTAAATGGAATTTCAAATTTTGAAATTAAAATGAGTGAAAAATTTAGAATAACATATTCATAAAATGGGGAAACAAACACGGTTTTGTAGGGAAATAGAAAGGAACTGCAAAAGAAGAGGAAACATTTGAAGCAATGTTTGCATATTAACAATCTATTATAATTAAAATAATCTAATAAAAGTATTAACATTGATTTCTTCACATTATAAATAAAACAAAAAAGAAATATAATCACCAATAATTTACCTAAAAGATGCTTATCTTCATAGGAGGACTCTCTCAATTTGTACAGTGCTCGGACTGCTTTATCAGCATCTTCATATATAATAACCATAGATCCATACTCATAATAAATTGGTCCAATACATGAAAATTTATTCTCTGCAAATGAAAAATACATAAAATAATTACTAGAGAAATTCAATGGCTTAATTCAATCAAATAATATTAATATTTAATATCTGAATTTAAGTTAAGAACTTTTGAATTTAAATTATATGTTAGATAGCCTTCATATCAAAGTTATGAAATCAGGTATGTGGTTAAATAATTTTCAAAGTTCTGATTTCACAAACAATTATCAGTCACAATTAGACACGGCCAAAATTATGTATGTGATATTTATATCATGAGCCTTATTTCAGTATTCTTGAGATAGGAGGATAGATCAACTTTGAAAAGTAGTATATTTCTTAGAACCTTTCTTAGGTTTTCTATGAGCTCTGTTTTGGCAATGCTAATTACATGTGAAACATGTTTAAATGGTATTGCAGAAATTTTGAAATTTTCAGTAAATGTAATACATACCACTCCCGAGCAAGCCATCAAGAATTTGCTGATAATCTTTCTCTGACAAATTGGGAGGCAAGTTCCCCACAAATAGAGCCAAGTTAGGACCATGTGGATCTTGTTTCAGTTGCAAGTAGAAGCGCATCAACTCCATTTGTCGAATTGAATCTTTCCCAACTTGCTTTACAATTTCCCATGGTCGTTCAGGACCTTCCATCACATTCTGAGTCACTGTTTAGTGAGAGAGAGAAACAAATGAAATAATATAATTTAAGTTTTCCTCTCTGTGAAATTAATTAGAAAGCATTTTAATGGGAACTGATTACCAGATTAGTGAGAACCTGGAGAAGCAAAATATTGAAGGGGTAAAAAAATGATTACACCAAAAACTTATACTTAAAGTTTTGAGTTAAATATTTTCAAAATTTATATTCAATAAATTTACATTCTTGGGAAAACAGGCAATCACAAACATCAGAGTTTTAAATGTATTGGGTTGAATACCAAGCTTCAAGGCTCTCTATTTCCAGTAATTTTTTATTTTATAACAAAACTGAAAAAGTAGGATTAATTAGAAACATTTTTAAAATTAATTCCTATTTTTCAAAAAAATTGAATTATGTTGTCAATTTTCATACATACAGAAGTTAATAGAAAACAACAGTTTCTCATTTTAGAATTTAATAAATTATATATATATATTCTCACCACCACGATCTAAAAGAACTTGACTTAGGCGGAAGTCCTCCGGTCGAGCACCTTCTACTCGAAAGCGTGCAAAAGCCTCCTTGATGAGATCCTCAATAGTTGTATCTGCATTTACAGGGATGGTGCAGAATGATTCTGTCACTTGAACTTTTCCAGGATAAACCCGCACTTCTCCACTATCGTTGTCTCGATCCCTGAAGCAATTTGTAAAAGAAGTCTCCAAAATTTTGTATTTAAAATTCATGAAAGATTTCACTGACACCAATTTTTTTTACAGTCAAGTAATTTATTTTATTTTTATGATTATGTTATTTATAAATAATAGTAATAACAAATGCAAATGTAAAATGTAACAAAACATTGACACCAAACACACTACAATTAAAATGAAACTAATATTTTGATAAAAAACATGTACCATAGAGATTGTTGATACAATTATTTGTTATTATAAAACTCTCAATGCAAAGAGGGGGTTATTTCAGAGAACTCATTCAATCAAAACTTCATAATTTCAGAGAATTCACAACAGTAAGCCTAAGCACACACAAGTTTGTGGTGAAACAATTAAAATGAAAATTTTAAAGCTTCATGAACATTTTGGAAAAGTAAAACCAACATCACCTAGGAAGTATTTGTCTTTTTAGGACCATTGTCAGGTAGCTTATCAAGTGAGGTAACTACCTCATTGGATAGCCATGGATAACAACCACTCCAAAGAAAGCCATTAAATAAGTATTGTAAACTAGAAGAGGAATAAGATTTGACAGAATGCAATGGCAACTACATCACCTAAGTACTGGAACTTAGTAAAAACACAACAAAATTAACTCCTTAAAGCCTTGGGCACTTTGAGGGTCTGTAGTGTTCACATTACCTAACCAAGTTTAAAATATTTTTAACATTTTATAACAATATATCAGTCTTCCTCTACACACATTCTTGCTGCACTACATTTGAAAAATTGCAGACATAGATGTAATGAAAAAAATTGAAACTGCAATGATCTGTAAAAGAATTGAAACTAAATCTTATTATTAAAGAAAATGTCATTGTATACTGCAGGTTGCTAGGCATGTTGCCTGTTCCTGTTTCTCAGTGGACCTGGTGGGTTTTTAGTCCTCCAGATGTTCCTGATATAGATTTCTTTTGTAGTCTCTCAACATCTCTACACTCCAATGGTTTACACATCAATGCTGACTTTGGGAAACTTTCCTGCTTATTCTGTTGATGTGAGAAAACATTTACTCTCACCTTCCTTTATTTCTTCTACTTCATTCTTTGTTTTAAGCCTTTTTCTAATATATTTCCAACTTTGCCACACCCTTAAGGTGACCCTTGCAAGATACAGAAACGACATCTGCATGATCTCCAGACTTAGCTGATCTTTACATTTCATTATCTCAACTTCTGATCCGTACATGAGTATTGGTTTTGAAATCATCTTATGTATTCTTAATTTAATCTCTTGAGTCATATCCTTTCCAGAACATCTTTTGATTAGACTATTTGTTATGTTATATTTCTGTGTTTAGTTTTCAATGATATTCCCTAAATAATTGAATTTGAATACGTGTTCTATTATTTGCCTATTAATGACAATTTTAACTCTTCTCATATCTTTTCCTTGATATGCCATTGATTTAGACTTGTTTGTGGAAATTTTGATGTTTCAATTCTGTTTTATACAATTCATTTGATGCAATTTGTAGGTCATCTTCTGGTTCCGTTATTATAACACCATCTGTGTAAAGGATTGTGTGGATCTTCTGTCTTTTACTGAAAATTGATTCCCTTCTTGATTATTAGTTTCCATTCCTTGATGTTATGGATGGCATATATATTTACCAGACATGGAGGCAAACCACATTTCTGGCTTAGTCCACTGTTGTGTAAGATTTTGGCATATTTCCATTATTTGTTTTTATACTCACCTGTGGGTTTACTTAGAGACTTTGAATTGCTTTCCTTATTTCTGAAGGTCTCTTTTCTTCTAGCAGATTCAGAAAATGTAAAGTAAAATTGTATTTCATCTGCAGAGAATTAAGCTTCTTAGTTCCTTCTTCCAACTTTTAAAAATTGCTTATTATTAGCAGTGTACATTTATATAGATAGTACTTGGCAAAGTTCATTAGGAATTAAACTTTCATCAGGAAACACACATATTCACAAACAATTCTCAAATTTTCCCATCAGTGTAATTCATACTATGTACATTTTTTTCCTTTCTTTAGTTACATAAGATTACTCTGTGAATGTGAAAATTATATTGTTTTGCAGAAACATACAAGCACTTTATGAATTAAAGCAATGTGAAATATTATGGAAACTTATGGAAATTACTATGGAAATATTATAGAAACAAGTAGATAAGAAAAAAAGCAATTCAATGCCCCAAATAATGACAAAAAATGTAAAAAGTGATTGGAAACAGTCTTAGTAGTTCTGCTCTGAAGGAAATTATGAACCTGTGACAAACATCAAAGTCTGAATGACTTGACTAGCGGTGATTGTATTTTTGAAAGCTGTTGATTTTATTAGTTTATGTTTTTTAAAAGTTTCTTGTAATATTATAAGTTATATTAAAATGTGTCTTGTTTCTAAGTATGTATGCTCATTTAGAATATAAAGAAACATTCTGAATTAATTTTCATATCGTTACTTCCATCTGTTACATAAAATCATTATCTGAAGCAGTGATATTTACAAGATTCATAAAAAAATGGTTCATTAAAAGTACTGTAACGAATATTGCATCACCTGCAATTCGCGAATTCACGAATATTGCGTCTTCTGCCGGCGTCCCCCCCCCCCTTGCCACCGAACGGTTATTCCGGAGTTGCGTACAAAGGTGGAGCAAGTGCGGGTTGTGTCGAGACGAGCGCCAGCCAGGCATAAATTTGCATTTGCGTTGCGGTGAACAGTGGTGCAGTGGGTGAACAGCAGTCAGCAATCTGAAGTCTGAAGTGGAAGCTGAGCTGTGAAGTGTGCATCGCGGTAAACAGCAGTGCAGGTGACCCTGGTCTGCGCAGTGAATTGTGGTCTGCGCTGTGAATTGTGATCTGCGCAGTGAATTGTGGTCAGCGCAGTGGACCGTGGGCGGTGCATGGAACTGTGCGATAGTGTTGAAGAAGTGAACAGTGTAAATAAATAATCAAGAGAACGGAGTTGTGTATAAGGAAAAAGTGAAGAACACAAGGACAGTGAAAAATATTTGTAAATAAATTAAGTATTTTTAGTGTAGCATTGTTTACTAATAAACGTTTTTGTTAAATAATACCTGTGTGGGTTTTAATTCACCACAGAGAAACGTTACAGTACAATATTTATATTCTTCATCATTTCTTATTTGTTTGTTTAACGGTTTTATTTGAGTTTATTCCTGTACTTGTCTATAAAATAGTCATACTAAATTCTGGGTGTGCATAGGAAATTATCAATAAATCTTGCTGCTTTGCAACTTGTGGATTTATCAAGAATTCCCTGGGTACTCTTAATATTACTTATCAATTCATGTAATGTGTGCAAGTATAATTTGTTTAGCATATTCTTACTAAACCTCTTGCTAAATTTTTAAAACAGTAAATTATATTTAAAAGCTCTCAAACTAACAAAAATGCTTCACCTGAAACGCAAAAACACAGCTGGTCTTTTTCCTTCCTTGCGATGCAAATTCATCACTGGCAGTGGGTCTTCCAGTCGGGTCTCAGGCAAACGAGTATCTTCTGCTGCATACACATCTGTCAGGTAGAAGTTCCCTGCAATTCATATGTCAAGAAATTGACTTTAGTTGGTTTAAGTTCAGCAATAATAGTGAATAATTATATACGTTTTTTCTCATTGTTCTTAGATTGTATTGTACAATCTGGTATTCCTCAACTTCTATTACATTACCTCAATTATTTTCCCATCTAATAAAAATTTGTGATCAAACCTTGCATGAAATGGATAGGTATAAGTAGATTATATTGAGTATGTATATATGTATTCAATGGATGTATCAGATACAATTCATTTCAAATTATATTATTATTCCTTACACAGAACAAATCAATGATGAAATATACCTTGTGCTAAATCCTCCAAATATTTCTAATTAACCACTTTGGTTTTGCCCTATTGACTTTTAACTTAACACTGTGTTCAATAGTCTTTCCTCTTTCATTTAGTTAATATAAGAGAGATCTTTCTTCTAACCTCCCTTGTCTCTTTTATTACATTCTTTGCCTTAAATCTTTTAAAATTGCTCAACTTCTTTGCCAATCCATCTGAGTGAGTCGTGCAAGGTGATGAAAGAATATTATTTGTGTAGCTTCTAATCTTTCTTGCTCCCTCCATTCATTGTCCAAATTTCTGACCCATGCACAAGCATTGGCTTTGATGTCATATTGAATTATATCATTTTACATTCTCAATTTTACTTTTTGTGCCATATCTCTTTTGAAATTTTTTATAAATTTATTTACATTTATAAATAAAACAAATAAGAAAACATATTCCATCAGATATTAACTGCAGGACCAGAACTATTATTATCCAGTAAATTTCACATCAATTGAGGGTATGTCATCTCATTTTTCAGTGCAATATCCTGTTGAACATAAAATGTCAGATCTAATGACCACTTCTCAGCACGAACTGTATCATAAACTTCAGCTTTAATAACCAACAATAAAAAATTATTTTCTTTCGCAATGTAATTCTCACAGTTGGGTTCTTTTAACTGAATTAAAGTTTGGAACAATGAGAAGGAGTCATAGCTTATAATCTTTCAATATCTACACACAGGATTTCATTCTCACCTTGTGTAAAAGTCAAAATAGACTAGAAAAATGTCTTACTTCTTCAAAGTGGTATTTTAATTGCAAGCAAGATTGAGAAAACAATATGGGAAAAATTATGGGGTTAAAGAGACAATTGTTTCATAGGCAGGAATCAGTGCTAATTTAACTAGTAAGAAACATGTGTTTAATTATTTTGTGTAATGTTTGAGCCAATATTTTTAGGTAACTTTTATAAATGAATTTAAACATACATAAAATGGATCTCTATGATCTTTTTTCCTCCAAAGAATCCTTGTATTCATTAATGAGGTTCAATGACCAGCACTCATAAGCTGCGACATATAAGACTGCGAACAATGACCAGCACTCATAAGCTGGAGTCATGCAAACCCTTGTTTAATAAACTAAGGATTCTTCTTGAGAAGGATTAAAAATTTTAGAAAATGGTTTTTTTTTTTTTTTCCCAACCCAGCTCCAGTTTTTTTTTGTTAACAAAAATTTTTTTTTTAAATTTCTTTCCTTGTATATGAGGGGCACTGCAGTACTGAGGGTTGGGGAGGTTTATTAAATAAATTAACACCAATTACAGAAGCTAGTTCCTTAAACTAGTGAATGTTGGTGTGTTGACTTATTATTTTTACCTATTGTTGAGTTCATGAATATCAGGAGTTCTTAATTTGAATGTTATCATAAGTAAATACAAGAGGTATTCAGAGATGTATAGACTAAATAAGTATGTAGTATTTTGTTGTACAAATAGTAGTCTTCATAGTTCATTTTTTCTTTTTTGTTCAACACAATCCTAATTGCTTCTCTTTTGCATTAAAAGCATATAGGAGGATGACTGCAAAATGTGAAACCATATGATATTGTGGCTTTGGAAAAGACATGGTACTTCATGATTTTCAGAGAACACAAAAGGACCTCAGTTTTCGTAAAAGGGTAATTGACTCAGGAACAACTCTCTGTTGTTGTTATCGAATTTCCAAGAGAGCTTTGAGTCGAGTTGAAATTCCAATAAAGTGGCATTTTATCAATCACGATGTTTAGCATATAGGTTTCATACCTTATCAGGTGTGGCACATAAAAATATCAGCCATGTTTTCATCTGAAGATAAAAATTACAAATTGTTTTGAAGATATTGAATTCAAATTTTAAAAAATAAGTAACAAAAAACACAAGCACAAAAAATAAATTAGATGGAAGAAACTTACTAAAACATGTTTAAATAAGATCGTATCATAATGTAAAACAAAAAAATATTTTTAAATAAAAAAAGTAGAAAGAAAAGAAGATAATTTCAAAACATAAAACAAGCAAAGTTTTGCCACTGCCAAAAATATTTAAGACTAATGTTGAGTTAGTTTTTTCTTTTTTGAAAATGTAATTGGATGATAGAGAGTGATTGAGAGAGAGAGGCAAGTGTGGGGAGAAAATGTTGGTGGGCTCCTTTCTGCCCATACTTTGCCTCTCTCTCTCTAATACAGTGAGAATGTATGTTTTTGTAAAGGGGAACTTTTTCAGTTATAGGTAATGGAATTATCCTTTGTTTAAAAATATTTTGGAAAGAAACATTTGTATATGTTTTTACAAATAAGATGTCTGGCTTATTTTAAGATGTTTTGGTAAGTTCTCTCCCATCTAATTTATATTTTGTGCTCATTACTTACATTTTTCTCTTAAACTCGTAATTTTAATGACTTTCATTCTGTTTTTTGTTACTTATTTTAAAAATTGTGTATTCAATGTCTTCAAAAGAGTTTTTTTGTCATTTTTAACTTTCAGATGAAAATATGTCTAACGGTTTTTTATATAACTGACGATGCCGTGACACCTACACAGAGAAATGTCATGATTATACAATAAATACTTTTTTGATGAATTACCTTATTGATTGTCAAAATATAAAGATATTTGTGTTTTATTGTTAATTTCATTTGACAATCATATCAATTGAAGATTTATCTATGGTTAGAAATGATTTTTGTTTAGTTTTCATCATTTCATTAATAATAATAATAATAATAATAATATAATAATAATAAATAATAACAACACAACCCGGTGGTGGTGTCGGGGATTTTAGTAGAATAGCACCACGGGACCTCCCCTGTCGTAAAAGGCGACTAATCGGAGCAGCTGTCCGCTGTCACTCCCCTAAACATCGTATTTCCACAAACTGTGTGTCATTGCTTCCACTTACTTGTGGCACACATCTGTTTTCTGTCCTGTAGGCCAATCTTGTGTCGGCCAACTCTTGTGTTTCCGCCCGACGCTATTAGGTTGCGAGGCTAGGGAGTCGTTTCCATTCTAATCCCTTCTACTCTAACTCTGTTCTTCTCTGTCCCCCTTGTTCCCTTCCATTTCCTTAAGCTGGCGGTAAGCTCAAAACAGCTAGGGGAAGGTGACCCTGAAGTAAGAAAAAACCCAAGATGGAGGATCTGTCAGGATCGACAGTTACGGTGCAGGGGATCGGAGCCCGAGTCCCGGCGGTCGTGGGCGCAAGCAGGCCAACCGGGCGTCGTCACCAGCGACTGCAATGCCAGGGGTGCGGCTCACTCGCACCGCTGGCAGATAGTGCTACGAAGTGATAGCAAGCTTCGCGGGACTCGTATGGAAGTCTGCGAAACTAGGGTTGAGGGAACCTTAAAAACCCTCGTCCTGAAAAAAGCCCGGAGTTCAATAGCAAAAGAATGAAAGTTGGAAATCAACAAACTATGATGACCTGTTCAAGAAACACCGCAGCAGTACTAAAGTACTTACAGTAAAAAGAACTGAAGGAAATTTCGATAAAGTGAGCCCGTTTATAATAGGGGGAGTATTAGCACCTGCGCTGGATCTGCCGTAAAAGACCATACAGAACTTCATCTGGACTCTGGTAGAAAAAGTTAATGACAATCAAGGTAAAAAATTACTAGAATTGAAGAAAATAGGCACTATAGATGTTGAAGTAAGTGCTCACGGCACACTGAATACCTGCAAAGGTGTTGTAGTTTGGCATGACTTAATAAAACTGGCAGTTTGAAAAGGAAATAGTTCAAGAACTAGAGCTTCTCAAGGAGTCATTTGCCTGTCGTACGGCTAACAAATGACGGCGGTGATGGAGCATATAATTCCTTCAGCGTTCCCAGTGTCCTAGCGTTCAAGCGTTGTACGTTACCAGAGAAGATTAAAGCAGAGCATTCATCGTCTACCGTACGAATGTTCATTCCTCAACCAATACAGTGTTTCCAATGTATTACGATTTGGACACCCAGCATTCTAGATGGGCGAGAATGAAAGTATGTCATTGTGGTACAGCCATTTCATAGTGATGATCCATGTCTGATCCCATCAAATGCATTAATTGCAGTGGAACAACATTATCGAGGTCAAGAGACTGCCCTATATATAAGCAGAGGCAGCAATTCAACAAGTTAAAGCGACAGATAAAGATCAGCTTTACTGAAGCAAAAAAATTGTGAGTCCTGAAAATAAACGGTAATATTACATACGTGAAGCAGTTACTAAAAATCACAAATTTTAACCTTCTTTAGTAGTGAAAGAACTAATGCCTGCAATAACCCGTGCATTAGAAAAGACTTCAACGAAATTCACAAAAAATAAATCACCACAGAAAACTTAACACTCAAACACTCAAAGTGAAATAGTAAATGGAAAAGAATCTTCAAAGACCCCCACAAATTGAGGCAGAAAGTAATCCAGTAGCTGCGCCTGCAGCCATACCCAGCAAGAGTATCGACAACAGGCTATCGAAGATCGATCGCCTCGTCTCTCTAAGAACACCGAGGACAACTTCCTCAAACAAAAAATGAAATCGATGACCAATGATCCAAGACACAACCGCACTGGCTCTGAGACAAGTTCGATGGGTAAGTGCTGAAATGTAATGATTACAATCCATCGATCTATTGCCAAAACCCGCGTACGAAGAGAAGAAGAAGGATGGCCAAAAGGAAAACCAAGAAAATAA